TTAAAGCAAAAGTTCGTCTCCGAGCGATAATACGAAGACGCCACATCTTCCGAACTCCTCCCATACGGCTGCTATATTACGACACGAACGCCATGGAGACGGTCGCCGCTCACTACACGTGGCAGGAGGCGCAAGACTTGTCGCAAGACTATACTATGCTCATATAAGGACTTCGACATTGCGTCATGGCATCGGCTACCACCAAGGACGGATTCGAATGGCAGGATTGACGACAAGGCTCGCGCACTTCTGCAGCAACGCGCTGTCGTCCATCGTAACCCTGCATCAACACCACTGGAGCGCGCCGTGATCAACAAAGGGTGCCGCATCGCAGTAAAGGATCTCAAACGATGTCGTCGAGACATCAACGACTCTCGCTCGGTCACCACGGTTATGCGAGACGCGATGGGCAGACCGCAGACATCGAGAGCGAGGATTGAAGAGATCGCCGTCAATTTCTACACGGATCTCTACCGATCAACGATGCCAGTTCCACGCATACCTACACCTACGCAGGACGCGGCCCCACAGATAGAAGAGTGGGAGGTGGAACACGCCTTGCGTCAAATGAAGCCGGGGAAGGCACCAGGACCTGACCGCATCTCAGTAGACTTTCGAAGTCGGCACCGTCATAAAACAGCTCACCAGGCGCTATAACAGGTACATGGACGCGCAAGAAATCCCGGACCAGTGGAAGACGTCACGGTTCTTCTGTTCAAGAAGGGCGAGCGCGACTTAATGAAGAACTACCGCCCCATCGCCCTCCTCTCGCAGCCATACAAGTTGTTCACGAAGGTAATCCTCAACAGGCTCGAGGAACAACTGGATGACTGCGCATCTGCCCACTCATTGCGCATGACCGAGGTCATGCGCAGTGAGTGGGCAGATGCGTCACCCATCACACTCGAAGGCACTGCTCTACCGGATACCGACCGTTACGTTTACCTTGGTCGACTCATCTCCATGGACAACAATTTGCGCGAAGAAATTATGAGACGCAAAAAATGCGCTTGGACGGCAATGGGACGCATAAGAGAGGCGGCGCAGCTCATTTCGGTCAGGAAAATACGAGCTGCTCTACAGTACTGCCTGCCTTTGTGACGCATCGGAGACGTGGGCAGAGAACAAGGCGTCTACGTTGATGTTGACACGTGCCCAACGAGCATTGGAACGGACTGAAATATCAACCGCCGTGAGCAGAGATGTCGCAATCTGCGCAGTACAGACATGCGCTCAATGTCGGGCATCCTTGATGCCGTAGTATACGCGTGGAATGCAAAGAAGAGATGGGCCGGACATGTGGTCAGACGTACGGACGATCGGTGGACCACTCGCATCACACTCTGGTATCCGAGAGACGCGAAGCGCAAGGTTGGCCGCCCTGCAACCCGTTGGAGAGACTCCTTGAAGCAACTCCAAGATTTTGCAGACCAACACTGGATCCAAACCGCTCAAGATCGCAAACAATGGAGGGAAGCGTGTGCTCGTCGCTGAAGAGAACCGGCTGAAGAACGAGCGTACAAGTATCCAAGCAAGTAAATATCCGAAATATTTCACGAACGGGGGAAGACATAGATAGTGAGTGGGTAGAACGCGGTACAGTACATAGATAACGTTGAGAAGTCGTCTTCCGTTCCCAGGAATCCTTCCCTGAAAAAAAAATTATGTTTGGAAAACGCACTCCCCCTCTTCAACAGTCAACGCTCCAGCGCCTTTTGCGCTCGGGTCGCAGAGCGGGCCACGTTAGGGGCTGCTGTCTTTCCCTGAGAGATTTATGCGCAGATTAAGGCCGATGTCCCGGCTTCTCACACTGACAAAGGTAATCTAGGACTAATTCATACAATATTAGTACGTAATTACTGTTATTTTGTTTTATTCAAGTATTTATATCAAATTGTGTGGGCTCTTCATGTAACAGTTTATAATTCCACTTAACAAAATTGAGGTACCCGGATATGTCTTGTGAAAGCACCTAGGGGTAGTGTTTTTACTTATTGTTTTTATTTGATGATTTTGTGGTTAGTTGCTATCCAATAATCTCCCGGCGGGCGGAGTCAGTAGCCTCCCTCGGCTGGTCAGCAGGCAAATCGTTACTTATCTTATCTTTCTCGTTGGTTCCAGTAGTTAGGGCGGCAGCAGAGGGAGGAAGTCGTACTTGGAACTAGTTTGGGGGGGGTCGTACTGACACCACCATTTAACACATCACGATGCTGTATCCTGTTCCAGTGAGCTCCCACTAGAGCCTAAAAGATGAATCCGCCATTGATCAATCGCTTTTGGAAATTTTGAAACTTTCTTTTTCTTTTGGAATCCATTATATGCCCTGTTAGGATTTTAAGCCGAGTACCGGTCGTGCCAGCTCCCTTTAAATTACTCCCGCTGGCGACCACACAAGTTGTTGAAGAAAGGCTCGCGCTAGGTCAAACCCAGCAACTGACACGAACCTGCGTCTGTAGCAAAAATGCAACAGCAGACTCGCATAGCTGGAATCTGGCCCTGGTAACTACTTCTTCCAGTCGCGAACTTCATTGTTGTCTGCCACATATATAAATATTCAGATTTATGTACCGGACAACTTTGATGAGTGCTCTTATGTCAACGATCTAGCAATAATGGAATTGGAAACTCCCGTATCCGAAGTGCTAGCAACGCCGATTTGCTTACCAAACAAATTCACGAAGCTCGCCACTACGCTTCAGCAAGCTGGAATTGGATTTAGAGGCCGTATGTTAACGAAATTTTTATTTCCTTAACTGCTAATCACCATCATCTTTGAAGCCGCCAACAAGTTTTCAACATTATTTCCCAACGGCTTCCACGTGGTGGAGCGTCACCCCAGAAGAGCTAATTTTAAAAAAGAAGCAGATTGCTACTACCGCTCCTCGCACTGTTGGAATTATGCCAAGTAGGTCCTTCTAATTGAGTAGTTAGAGTATTCATTTTCGCTGCAGACGCTGAGGCATGAGACGATGCTGAGATTGGCGCGGTGCCAGCCTGTTCTCCACCATTTGTTGCTGCTTGCCCGCTTCAATGCGTTGATGGAGAACAGGATCGCGCCACGCCATACCAACTCCTAGCTCAGACACGCTCCAGCATCTAAAGCGAAATCTACAGTGCATTCATCAAAATGTTGCTCATGATGTTTAGGGCGACAGCGGAGGTCCACTATTTCAAAAATATGGTCAAAAGAATACTATTGTCGGAGTGATGTCATACGGTAATTCGTGTGCCCCGAGTGAGTATTTTCCTTCAGCAAGGCAAGTAGGAGAAGACGACTTCTGCCTTCTTGAGAAGGGCGATTTTAGGATTAGTATCAGGATCTAATATATTACAGTAAGTTATGGTAGCATTTTAATTTATTCTATAAAATATTTGGTTAACCA